GCTAAATGCGATTCGTTAAGTTTGATTTTTTTTTCTGTGGTATATTTCTTTTTTATTCTTCAATTTTATTTTCCTTTTTTTCTGTCTAGCCATCGAGCCTGTATAGCATAGAACTTGTACATTGAAATCTTGCTTTTAGAGACTTTTTTTTGTAAATCAAAATTCCTGTGTAGGTGACACTAACTAAATGTAGTCAACGCCATTTAGTTGGTCTAAGTGAATGGGACTTTTTTTAACCAAAAATTTGCAGGATTTGATCAAGAGATGGATGTTGGCTTCCAGTTAAAGAATATTCTTTAGTTCTATTACCTCCCACAAGTGACTGACTGGCCACATGGTGGGAAATCAAGAGGTGTTTGTCACCAACAAGTCACGTGCTTGTCCTGAGCTAGTCACATACGTGAAGTACTATACCAGACTCATCGCCACTCACTTAAAATAATTTAACTTCAGTAAAGAAGGTTTAGCTCACTTTATTTTTCTAAGGTCACTTTGAAATGAGCTTTGACTACCGAATTTTAGGCCACATTAACAAACGTTCTTTTTTTTCGGGCAGCGAAGCCCCTGCCAACATAATCACTTTCAAATGTAGATAAGATAAAGAAATCAAATGCTTGTTAATCGATCTGTGTGGTTCTTCTACTTAATCAATTTTTAACCATATATCTATAATAATTTAATTTATCTAGCGCTGTTAACAAACATCAATAACATAACAGACATAAACACAAGAGTTAAAATGACTAAATAATCTACATCCTTCATAACATAGATGGACATTACAATCTGTCTATTTTATTTCCAGATTTTTCTGTGAGTTTTATGGTGGCCAGCTTTATTTTAATTCTTGTTTTCGGGAAACTTTACTATGACATAAAAACAACGCAGATTGGGGAATTCTTCAAAAATGTATTTATAGCAATCAGGTAGGCAATATCAACTTAAAGATTTTTCCTTCTATTTTTATAGAAACATTAAATCGAATGTAATACTTTTATTTAATCTAATCCCTGTGCACTGAAATATTTAAATTATTAAGTAAGCATTAATGTTTTAAAGTTTTATTTATAACTCCTGGCAGACGTTTTGTATTTTGTTGTTCAGTTTCCCACTTTTGGGACAGATCTTCACAATGATGTTAAGTTTATTGAGCCGAAGATATTTACTGCAAAGAAAAGTCAAGGTCACGGACAAAGAACTGCCTTTGAATGTTGATAACAGGTAAAGATGTAGTGAAGCATGTCAATGTATTGGCGAAAATAATGTTGTGCTGTATAGGATATGGTCGAAAACATGAGGCTTTTTATTGGCTGTTAATACCACATCTAACCACGTGAAGTGATGTCCTATGTCCTCTAAATCAAACCATGTGAAGTATGTTGCTATGTCCTCTTCATCTAACCACGCGAAGTGATGTCCTATGTCCTCTACATCAAACCACGTGAAGTGATGTCCTATGTCCTCTACATCAAACCACGTGAAGTGATGTCCTATCTCCTCTACATCAAACCACGTGAAGTATGTTGCTATGTCTTCTACATCTAACCACGTGATGTAATGTTCTATGTCCTCTACATCAAACCACGTGAAGCGATGTCCTATGTCCTCTATATCAAACCACGTGAAGTGAGGTCTTATGTCCTCTACATCAAACCACGTGAAGTGTGGGTAATGAAAGCAGAAAGAAAGCTGGTGTACAGTATTAAGTCTGACCTACTTATGTTTTTGTTTGTTCATTTGTTTTGTTGTTTTCACTTGATGTAAAATGTTCCTTTTTTTTGTTGATTCTGTTGCATATCCGAAAACAATTAGGAAGGAATGAAATGAGCTTCTCTTGTTTGAATAGCTTTTGTATAGTACAACTTTCAAGCTTAGAGCGCTGTGGGCCTATGGATCAGTGGAGGGGGGGGGGGTTGTATCTGGGAGAATGTTTTCTGTTCTTCCTGTAGGTGTTTAGTAAACACTTGTCTGCTCGAGCCATTGTAAATTTGTATTGCGATTGAAACTCTTGCGATTTGCTTACGACGACGTTGTGTTAATTATAACAATTGAATATAGTTAAAAGATATCAACAAAAATGCGTGTCTTCTATTTGCAGAAAACTGTATGAAGTGCTGAGCTATTTCTATTTGTACCTGAGCATGACAATTGGTATATTGTCTTGCTTGAGTAGATTCATTCTGTCTGCAGCGTTTGGATTTTTCTCTCTCGGCAGACTTGACAAGTCAATCTACTCCAGAGATCTACAGAAATTTGATGGAGGTACATCAAACATTTCACATCTTCATGTCTATATCTAGGCTTTATATTTATTCTAAATATAGCATGTGTGGGATGTGTGGTCTAGAGGCTAAGTACGCTTGAACTTGGCTTGGCTACCAATTTTTGATGTGTTATTTTCTATATCAAGGGGGCTCGAGGTTCGACACCCTACTGGAGAAGAGTTGTGTTTACTGAGCGCCTAAAGGCAGCACGGAAAACCTTCTCCCACTGGTCCACAAATGAGATTGGACCATAGCGCTCTGAGCATGCTATAAGCATGAAAGTAGCGATATATAAAAGCAATAAAAATACATAATTTTCTTTCGATGCATCGTCAGAACATTCTTATATTTGATCTCTTCTTATATTAATCACATTGCGTATAAATGAACAGGTCGCAGGGCCTCTCTGTCATCTGTCATCGCATGTTGTACTCTGAGTTATGAAATCTCTTCTAGTATTAATCGCGAAAGCTGATCTGTGGCTATTCAGTATATGATTCTTTTAAACAAAAAAGTGAGTTTTTTTAAATTTCTCAGCATACGGCACTTACCTTGCAATGCTGCAAGTCGACAACGCTCACAATAATCCTTCAGTGAGACTATTCACACATCTTTTGTGGAGTGGAGTTTTGGTAACAAGGTTACGCAATTCTGGTGGGAATGACGTGGAGATAGCCAACTTAATACCGACATTAAAGTGAGAAACTTTAAATTTTTGAATGTCATTGTTACACGTGATATAATATTATGCATGTTTTTATTTGTTTTTATTATAAATACACCTAAAATTATCAGGATTTTACCTTACTAAGCTTAATTCCTACCGACATCTTGAAGTATATATATATATATAAATATACATTCTAATTAATGTGTTTATATATTATTTACAATATTTATAAAAATAAATACTCTATTTGATCTAATTTTAGCCACAGATCAACTCCTTCTTATTCTGTCAGGAGAAATGGTAAGACAATTTTATATTCAAATTATTTATATATATTAGTTTAAAACAACCATTGAATATAGTTGGTGACTGAAACTGAATAAATATACTTAACTTTAGCAGTCTTCTTTATCTCTAATTATTAAGTCTAATCATTTTAATTGCGCATGTCCATAATCTCGTTTCCTAAAAAGCCAAAAGTCTGATCTATGTTGTTATTGTTATTAGCAATCCGAAAATTGGTAATTTTGAGTTTTCTTGCTTGCCATTGCAAGGCATGATACAATCAACAAGTTGATTTTTCCCAAGAGTGTTTGTGAGCTTTCAGGATTAGATCTTTTTGTTTTTCTTTTTTCTCTCTCCTTGTTTGTTTTTATTATTTGTTTCACTTCATTTTATTTTCTATAGCCGCCCACTTCCCTGTTATTATTATAGCTACTATATAGCGCTACTTTCATGCTTATAGCATGCTCAGAGCGCTTTGGTCCAATCTCATTTGTGGACCAGTGGGGGGGAGGGGGGTATCTAGGAGTTGGTCTTCCGTGCTGCCTTTAGGCGCTCAGTAAACACAACTCTGCCCAAGACACAACTCTGCCCAAGTCGGGTGTCGAACCTCGAGTCCCCTTCTAGCCAAGACAAGCCAAGTTCATGCGCACTTAGCCTCTCGACCACGCTTCCCTGTCCTTTGATTCACTTTATATAAATGTCTCCATCTGTCTTGAAAGACAATAGTTATAGTTTCTGGTTGAATCAAGTCAGAATCTGCTGTTACTTAAAACAAGTCTATTCTGAAGCGGCAAGTTCCTGCATGAAAAGGCATTGGAAATGACAAGTTTCTCTCTCTGTGTCTCTTGTTCTTTAGCTCTCCTCGGGGCTCGTACCAGCATGAAGTCTGCCTTTAAGTTGTCCGAGCTTTTTTATGTCTTTAGTCCTGAGATTTCGCTGGCCTGGCAGAATTCCATTGTAAAATACACATCTTAAATATACTAATACATTGTACTATATTAGTTGTTCTTTAGCTAGACAGTGACCATGAAGAAATGGTTATTCCCCAAAGATTTTAGATGAAATGTTTAGTCAATCATTTAAGGCATCATCCTGACATGTCATGAAAAACCACAGACACTAATAGAACGAAACGAGAACTTTGTTGTGTTCTAATTTATTGTGTTTTTTTAATTAAACACTTTTTCTTGCTTCATTTTCTTTGCAGCCAGTGGATCAGACTTTTTCATGTTCTCTGACCGGGTTAATTGCAAGTCCAAGCAGGCAAGAACTCGATGGTTCCTGGCGCAGACTTTAATCAACAATCCAAAACTTAGGCGTGAGAGACGAAAGGGAGATCATCTGTCACACGCCAACTTTGAAGAAATACAACTACACATTATCGACCCTAACCATCAGTTTGACTACAACACCTTAGCATAACAGAAATCGATGTGATGAAGGGCTTAAGTCTACTTACAAAATACCAGCTTATTAAACGTGTTAGGTCATTGAGATCTACGCATAATTAACTCTTTCTCTCCTAATTGACGATGCCAATATTGATTAGAACCCATTAAACTAAATAGATTTTTGGATTTCAATTTGTGTAAAAAGAGCTTGCATTCTCCTATAATTCGATACCAAATAGAACATTTTCTAGCAAACAAAAGAGTTATTGAAGTTTAATCAGAACAGGATAGTGAAATACAAACGTGTAAAGTGAATAATACTATCGGAACGAGGAAAATAATTACGGAGAGAGAGAGTTAAACAAAGCAGTGATGGACAAACCAGGTGTTAAATTTAGTAAATTTTTTTGTTATTCCGTAGTTCCCGCCTTTTGAATATGCAATTTTACACGGGATATAAGCATTTATTTCTGCTCGAAATCTGTAGTTCAGGCGTTTTTGAATAAAATAATAGAAATACATCAAAAGAATATTCTTCACAAATAGGCAAGGTGGCAAAGACAAAGGGAGAGAATACAGTGAATAGATTTATAAGAAGTCTCGTCTGTTCAAATAAAAAAAGGGGAGGAAATGAAGGTCTAAATCTTTTATAGCGACACCTGCCTCAAATCTTCCTCGTAAGGGAGTCCCTAATAAAATGAGACAAGTAGATTTTTTTTCTAGATCACCTAAGCAGTTTTAAATAGATCTAGCCTCCAAGCTCAGAAGGTCACCTAAGCAGTTTTAAATAGATCTAGCCTCCAAGATCAGAAGGTCACCTAAGCAGTTTTAAATAGATCTAGCCTCCAAGCTCAGAAGGTCACCTAAGCAGTTTTAAATAGATCTAGCCTCCAAGCTCAGAAGGTCACCTAAGCAGTTTTAAATAGAGCTAGCCTCCAGCTTCAGAAGATCACCGAAGCAGTTTTAAATAGATCTAGCGTCCAGCTTCAGAAGATCACCTAAAGGATTTTTAAAAAAATAGTCTAGACTCCAGCTTCAGAATAAACCAAAATTTGACGGAAATAGCGGACAACGTTAGTGACTTGTTTGCATTTCTAAATAATCAAAGAACATAAAGTTGAACTCTAATACTCTTCTAGTCTTCTGTTGTGTTTTTTGGCTATTTTTCTTAAAATACAGATGTTGTTATTATTTTCAAATTTAAAGAGGTGAAATAAAATAATTAATTCCAAATCTAAGTTGAAGGTTAGAAAAATCTCAGTTCTGTTGTTGTTTGTTTTTTTTGTTCATGTTTTTTTCTTTTTTAAATAACATCTTAATAGCAAACGCACTCTTACTGGAGCAGACGACGAAGCCGTCTGTTCAAAGCAAGAAGGAAAAGGGGTGAGAAGAGTATAGCGCAGAGTTGGCAGAAGATTTGAAACCAGGACACAGACTATTCAGTAACAGTTTGTAGACAATCTCATCAACTGGAGGGACAAAACCTGTCATTTAGTTTTCTTTGTATTCTATTGATTATCAATAACATGCTACATATAAAATGAATCAATAGACGTCAGTTGGTCAGAGAAAGAGAGAGAGAGAGAAGAAATTAGAGAGACAAGAGAAAATTGAGCATCGAGAAAGAAAAAGAAACGAGAGAGGAGAGAGATAAAAGTGAATGATAGAAAAGAGAAGAAGAGAGAAAGGAGAGTGAACTAGAGAAGATAGAGAAGATAATGAAGGGAAATACGGAATAGAGAAGGGACATGAGAAAGAGAGAGAGGAGTGAAAAAGAGAACAGAGAGAGAAGAGAAAGACAGAAAAAAAAAGATAGAAGAGAGAAAAAGAGAAAGTGAGAATGAAGAGAGAGAGACAGAGAGAGAGAGACAGCGAGAGACAGAGAGAGAGAGAGAAAACGAGAGAGAGACAGAGAGAGAGAGAGTGGGAGAAACACGATAGAAAACACTGACCTAACGGGGGGGGGGGGGCTATTGGGTCATTAAGACACACCCCCCCCCCCCCTCATTCTTTACATCGTTGTGATTGTTATCATAGGACTCTCTAGACTCTTAAGAAGTGTATTGGCTAGTCATGTGACAACGCAAACACTAAACAATGTAAAACCAAGTAAAAAAAAAAAAAGTTCTCCCATGTCTGTGGTCACATTTTATTACTACATGGTGTCGCTCAGGTTGGAGGGGGGGAGGGGTTCAATTCGGGTATGTTGTCTTATATTCTCTCTTCAAGTTCCCCCTAGTATTTCTCTCACTTAATGCTGCCTATTGAACGCAACCTATTCCATGTTTATTGTTTATTTATCTAAAACTTTTTTATATAGCTAAACCTTTAGAGTATAACATGGTTATATACATGGCTTGTATGTACAGCCCAACACAATGGCAAACTGTTTTACGTTAAGTGCAATAGTCCATTATCATCAAACTGTTTCTTTAGTTTTGTTCATTTTGTTTAAAATGAATACATAGTTTTACAAATACGACCGTTGAAATTGATTTGTTCAAAGGAAGTAAGAGACGCAGATGTAGTATCCCACGTTTCAGGACACGCGCGATATGGCAATTCATTATCGGCATAAGTCCATCATAAAACTATTCGAGACACTCGCCGCGCATCCTAAGGAATCATTTCAATAAGCTATTGTCTGATATAGTCAGCTGGATTTGTTCGATACCAAAATCTCCTAAACAAGGAGGTTCTCGCTCTCACGCACTTTCACCCTCCCCACCCCGCTTTCAACTTAGGCTTTGCTAATAAGGTCAACCTGATATCTAAAAGGCTGTGTAAAAATAAATATTCCTGGAAGCCGATTACTCGTACAAAGCTTGCTACAAAGGGAATGTGAATTGAACGTACCACATAATCTTTTGAATTCAAATAGCACTAAACATTCTCTACACTTGTATCAATAAACAGAAATGCAAATGGACCACATGCATTCAGTCATAATTACTGCAGCTAGCGACAGTTTTGTATATTTGTTACCCGACTGTCTAGATTTAGATTATAAGAACACTCGCAAAAGATTGAGGCAAGGAGGAAGTGAATAAAATAAGGACACAACTAAAAGAAACACATGTATTTCCTGTGTCTTATTGAGTTTCGGCCCTTGCGTTTGAGACGCTCAAGGGCAAACATTTGGATCGCTTACAAGGGCACTAACGACAGTTGGATGTAAGATTATCTTCAGAACATAAAGTAACGTGAGTACAGGTGACCTAAATGTTTGATTGTTTACAAATGAATGTCGCCTGATTCGTGACAGTTTCTTTTTTGTGGATGTTGAATTTTATTTTCTTAAACATCAAATGTACACATCCATCTTAATGTTTAATGGAAATTCTTTAAAACGTTTAGCGTAAAAATTATTTGTAAGGACCTACAGAAAACGTTAGTAGCTAATTTACACACACTATGCAGGTCGATTTGCATAAAGTCTGCAAGCTGATATGAATATGATTCGCAAGTCGATTTGCAGTTATCATGCAAATTGATTTGCATATTCGCATATTGCATGACGATTTTGTATATAGATTTATTCTGCAAAGTGATTTGCATATAGTTTACAAGGAATTCGTGTGTAACTAGGAAGCTGATGAACATATAATCATAATTATGGCAATATCTTCGGTTACGGAGATAAAAATGGGCGATGTGTTTCTTATGACTACGCTAACCCAGATGTTACCTACAAATATTCCCACACCTGATGTAGACTAAGTCTTTGTCCACCGGCTGTCTATTTACGTTTTTTTGGACGTCTTCTCGCCTGTATTCAATAAGGGATTTTCTTTATGCGATTACCATAAGGCATTCAGAAAATTTGTATTTATTTTAAATATGATTTACATAGGGTCTTAGTCTACTATTCAAGAGAGACATTATAAATGAGCTCAAAATGGCCCAAAATAGACATAATGTATTTTATCATTAACATATCTTTTTGGAATTTCATTTCTTTTTCTATTTTTGCTCTACAGACAGTATGGCGCTCCCAGAGAAATATATCATATACTATGCGATGTTAATTCCTGCGGTAAGAAAAAAAAAAGATTTATCTAAGACAATGCCATTACCATATCTATTTGCATACATTTTATAGGTCTCTCAAAACTCTGTGGTATATTTTATTGGGAAGGTGATAAATCATTTGTTTAGCATTGTCTTATATTGGTAACGATTAGAAATGTGCTTAGGTTCTGTTAGGGTGCATGTGCTAAGTGTTTCAATACTTTGTATGTTTAGGTTCAATATTTCACTTTGGAATACGTTTTTACAAATTTAAGTTGAAAGTTAAAAAATTATTTAGTATTATTTAAAATGCTTGCTTAGAGAAAAAAAAAAAAAAAAAAAAAAAAACTAAATGATTTTTGGGATTATAATCCTTGTTCCTTGTAGATGAGTTATCATTTTAAAAATATAAAGTCTCCCCGCATCAGAAGGATTAGTTAAAATGAAACAAAATCTGTCTTAAGTAAATTTATCTGAATTGATTACGTAATCGGAACTGAAGAGCGTGTATGTATTTTGGTTGAGTTTCTGACTGCTTTTAAGAATTATCTATGTCGACGGTCGACGACCAACTGGTTGTTGCCAGGTAGATATTTAGAGCTTAATCAACTCGGGTATTTCAACCATTACCTGAATTCAAGAATAGAAGTTCTTGGTCGTGTAGTGTCAGCTTTATATTGTCGTCCCCATGGTTCCGAGTTCTAACCCAGCCATCTCTTGACTCTCTGAAGGAAGTGTAGGCTAGGGTGTAAGCATCGTCATTTGTAAAGGAAAGTCCGAAATTTCTAGAACAAAAAAATCCAGGTTTCCCTCCACAATCCTGCCCCCCCCTCCCATCCACAACCTATGTCGACAGCCGAGCGCCATAACACTTGAAAATTGAATTAAAATATTTTAAATTATTCAGAAAATATTCTTCTATTCGCATTCATTAGTTCGCCACAGCACAGTACATCAACCTTGACCTTAGCCTTACCTTTTTTTTTTCGTTGTTTCTCTTGTATAATACCTTTAGCTTTAGCGTTATCACCTTTGACCTTCTCTATCTTGATTAGCTGGTGATTTCTACTGTCATGGTTGCACTGGCGGATCCGGGGGGGGGGGGGGGGGGGCGGTATCTCTTGACTCTCTGAAGGAAGTGTAGGAAAAAAAATCGCCCCCCCCCCCACTTCAAAATTCTGGATCGCTAGTGCATGGTTGGTTGATTTCTTGGCATCCCAACAAAATGTAGTCTTTGTTAGGACGTAGCATTGCTAAGTACCCTGGGTGTCAGTGGCGTCCCTAGCGTCGGCTTGCAACCCCTTCCCCAATGACGTTTTTGCATTATGTAACCTATACACACACACTTTTATATATTATAATAACGCAGCATATATGCATAATATATAAAAGAAATAAACATGTGTTCAATATTTTGTTCTCTTCCTCTCACTTAGCCTCTAAGGCACAATTAAAACAAAAAGTTATTTCTGAAAACCCCCAACCTTTGCTCGTAATATATGTTTGCACTGTTCATTCTATTGACCTTATCTCAACCAAAATAATACTTTTCCCAAATTTGAAGTTTTAGCTCTGGTATCATGACCTACACTTGCTAAGCCAATTTTAAAATAAATGATATTTGAAACTATAAGTGTAATAACATTATGTTAGCTATTGTAAAAAAGGTTACACTATTGTGTTAGAAAAAAAAAGGCGGCGCGTAGCTTTAGAAAACATGTACTCTTGACAATTAGTTTAAAAAACAACATCCCAAACAAAATCTACTTCTTATGGTCACGTGAATTTTTTAAGTCTGCACCGTGAAAATAAAAACACCATATTAATAGTTCCCCCTTTCAGACCTATCTGTCTATAAAGGCCTTCTTTTTCTGTGGCCTACGGTTAACGAGGGTGACATGTGGCCAGCACAACGGTCAACCGTCTTTACCTTTTCCCAACTAATGTCAGGTACCCATTATAGCTGTGTTGACAGAGGCGCCCAAAAAATCCCAGTCTTCACCAGTCTGAACTCGAGACCCCCAGTTCGAAAGCCAAGTGCTTTAGCGCTCAGCCACCGCACCTACAAAGATATTAGATATTTTAAAAAAAATTTAAACATTGTCTATTTCCGAGGAAAAGTTGTGAAGCTAGTAGACATTTAAGTATGTAAAACAAGGAAGGGCTGGAAATTTTGTAGCCGGCCCTTGCGGATCATTTGGTTCACACAGGATGACACTTTAATAGCAGTTACAAAAATTGATTG